ACAGGAAGGAATCAGCTGAGATCCGGATGTTTTGCGATAATTACGAAACGCCTGAGGTAATAACGAATACAATATGTTTGTCTTCAATTTAATGGTCGTTATATTTATCTTAGAAGATTTCAAAGATTCTCAGACTTTTTTCTATCGGTAAGAAGGCGGTATTCATTTTCTGAAGTTCTTGATTTTTGAGGTGATCATGCCACTATCCATAATATGGGATACACATTAGCACCTTGGAGATCCATTTTCTTCTAACTTTTTGTTGACTATTTTGATGCCAGCAATCAAGCGCTCGACTGAAATGAGGTACATACGTGCTTCAATTTGTTACTGAATTTTCATAGAGATTCAACTCAGTGACCTTAAAAGCTGATTTGCGAGAAACGTAATACTAATCGTTAGAACACCAAGGAATGTCATCTTTCAGTTTGAGAATGTTTGTACAAATCATGCCAGTAGGCAGAATTTCCTACTTTCTCCTAACTAGCCCTCGCATAGGACAATTTAAACTAAAAGGTTACATTTTGCTTACACTTTTCGTCCGCGATATCAATTAACCTTCGAGAAGAGCCCTCCTTTGTTTACTTAGCATCCGGAAAACCCATATTTATCTAAATATCGCTGGATCACAACTTGATTCTCAGAGGTAGTGCGAGGTCTGGAGGTATTCTACACCGAAGATTCATCCCACAGCTACCATCCTATTGGGGGTTCTGTAAAATAGAACCGGAAATACACAAAACGAGCAAGAATTTACATCCTCTTTTTACGTCAAATTAACACCGTTGTGGGTCTGTGGTGACCGCATATCTCAAAGGCAGTTATGAAGACATCTCAAGATTGTGTTTACGATTTATTATTTTGGGATATGCAGCAATATGTGAACGTCATCACTTCATTGACATCTTTGAGTAGCACGACCTTTCTATGAAATTCGAAATCGCTTTTATGCCCGAACCGTGGTTTCCGTTTTCCTTGTTCAAAATTTTGTGTCCATCAATGTCATACTACAAAGGTTCATGGGATAATGCATTCGAAATTAAGATCTGTGATGTTGATAACCTAAAACAAACAAATCAGTAACATTCCGTTGTGAATGACTAATTTATCGTTTTTATCATTTAAAGATAGACAAATCTAAGCAAGTGCGTTTCGCGATTGGAGCTGCAAACGAACAAGGGGGTGTTTGAAAATATTTCACCATAACTTAACGAATCAGTCAGTAGACATTACTTTAAATGAACGTTTTACGATGCACACGTCAGCTGTTCCCCAACAGCAACGCTTTTGGTTTTTAATGCTCACGTTCTATGAAATGTGTTTATGTGAAGCTGAAGCCTAAATTGCGCTTAGTTTAAGATCTCAGACGAACTGAATAGCATACAGGAATCAGATTTGTGATCCCCCTCGAACGGATGCGCTACAATTTCTCGCCACCTTTGCGTTCTGGAATTTATCAACTCAAATTGCTAAATATGCGTGCTTTATCCATATACACAAAGGAATTCATGTTCAAAATTAAGGATGTTGTTATGAAAAACCAGACTGCCATGTTTGGCGTGCCAGTGTCTAGTCAAGCGCTCAAATACTGCAAACGCGGAAATCGAATTCGTGCAGGTTGGCAAATTGCCCTTGGTCGAACTACTCCTAACAAGGTTACTGTACCTACTTTTGTGAGTAACACTGTCCGTTCTGTGTTTGGGAAGTTTCCGGACGCATCCTACATGCTCCAGCGAGAGGAATTTCGCACCTCTTGTGATCTGCGTCTTCAAGCGTCATGGCTCAATGAGGATGTGGACGATTCCGTGGTCCAACTGGAAAATTTCGTCTGCTTCAAACAGAATAGACAACGGCATAGGAAGAAGTAGGGAGTCGGCGTGATTACTTAAATCAATTCCAATTGGTGCGGCAAGTACAAAGTACTATTTAAGTATTCATAGAATGACGTTGATTGCTCGACTGTCGTCTATCACCCCAAATTCTCCCGCTTTCCTTTGATCGTCGTCATTAACTTATACCACTGACCACAACCTAATCCTGGTCAGACCTAAGATTTACTCACACTCAGGACATTTTTCTTTTACTCAACCCAAACACATTACGTTCCGTCATCGAGATCCTTCCCTAGACAATGTGGCCTTGTTTGGGGGATCCTTTAAATTAGTTACCCGTGTTTGTCCTTTAAACACAATCTGCTTGTCCAATGTGACGTTTCTAACAAAAATGTGTTTTTGATGTAGGCTGTCCTATAATAACTTTGGTCCTTCAATTTGGCAGAATATCAACACCTTTTCTCAAACGTTTTTGCCGTGAAAGGAAACGTGCTTTTAAGTGTGGCAGGAATGCCGAAATGGAACGGTTATCGTTTCTGATCAAGGGTGAAATAAGACGGTTGGACGCCCCTTATACAAGTCACGTTTTCGAGACGAGGAACTGTAAATTTATGTGGTCTGGTATAAATCTACTCTGGAGGCAAATGAAAGTGATTTCCCGTCCCTCCATTGATATTGAAAAAAATGAATGCTTCATTTATTCACTCTTCACCCGACACAACCTAGTTATGTTGATTCCAGTTGTCAAAATTCTAACCTTCATTTGATCACGTCACCTCTAGTGAGATGTATAAACACATGAGTCCTCTCAAGGTGTTGACCGCACCTGGTCCAGAAAACGTAGGTCATGCCCTTCTGATACACGGTGCCCTGCCACTGTATCATATCTTTGCACACATAGCTAATCGTTTACTCGAACTCGTAACTATTCCGGACTACTGGTGTCCAGTGAGAGTTATTCCCGTTCCCAAAGAAACGTCAAAGGCCTCCATAGCGAAGCGTTTCAGACCAATTGCTCTCACTTTCACTGGTTTACAATTGATGGAGAGATCAGTTCTTCGGTGTCTTTAGTTATCCCTTAGCACCCCCGATGAAACTAACCAGTTTGCATATACAAACATAACCGCTCTACATTAGATGCCGTTTCTTCCTTAGTTCATTTCATCCGTAAGTCACTTAACGAGAAAGTCAAATATGTTCATTGTGCATTTCTCGACTATCCTCCCGCTTTGACTCGGCGCCCCGTTCTCTTTTATTTAACAAGCTTCAATCTTTTGACTGCCCCGCTTCTCTTCTCGAATGGCTTACTGCTTACTTTTTGCAGTAATATCAGTATGGTAAATTGGCAAGATAACAGTCAACCGCATAACTCAATAGCTCGGGTGTACTTCAAGGTGCTGTTCTATTACTCTATCTTTTTCGAAAATAATACGAGTGACTAACCTATTTACTCCTCCTGTTCGACATTTTAGGTCTGTTGATAATATCACCGTTTCCATTTCCATGTCTACCAAATAATAACTATTTGAATATAACACAAATCTATCCTACCTCTTTTCATATTCCACTTTTTTCCGGTCTTAATCCTCATTCTGAAAAATGCCTCATGAATGTTTACACGAAACCGTATCCCATCTCCAACTAACAATGCCCAGATTCACAGAAATCTAATGAGCATGGTCAGCAATGAGAAGTGCTTTGGTGTCACAGTTGAAAGTAACCTTGGTTGGTCCTTACATACCCAAAGTGATATTCGCAAGTTGGAAAGTCTCTCCTTTCAGATAAAAAGACTGTGCCACTTCAGTTCTGACTCGTGGGTGAAAAACGCTTTCGTTCAACAATATGTTCTCCATATACCCCTGTATTGCTCCGCTGTAACTTCCCCTTGTTTGCTGGAGGCTGATTTCAAGTTGCTGAGGTGTGGCCTCTCAATGATCAGCCGTGTCTCCGAAGTTTCGTTATCTGTTCTGATCGCAATGTGTAATGCTCGTATTGATGCGTGCCTGAAGTTAGCTGACATTATCTTATGCAATTGCACCCATCCTTTACTCATTGACTATTGTGGATGCAAATCCCACCGCTCCATCCGTTCTGAGTACAAACTTATCCCGTCCCGCAAATACGCATACAAAAGCTGTTGGGTTTTCTATCTTGCCCGGATACTAAACGAATTCCTGAGCCTTCTAATGCATTTAGTAACTAACTCATATTTTTGTACGTTTCACATTCCACTTTTTCACCTGCTTGTACCAGAATTGTAACGGTGGTCTTTTTTTTGGCTGAAGGCTTGTTTATAACTCGCCAAAGCTTGAACGTAATGCAATACAATAATATTTCGGTAAATGAGAGATGGAGAGAATGATACGACATTTGATTAACACCACGCATACAGTCGACACGTGCATATGTGAATTGCATTGGCAAATGCTACGACGATTGGGTACTGACATTTAAGAAGACAATAACCAAATGTCCTTATCAGAAATACTAAGTCCAAGATGTATTCCGCTGAACATGCAGAACACCAATAAGGAAATCGAGTCACAACGGAAATGCTCATTTGATGGACAAGGAAGGTTATGGTGAACTGTAGCCCTAACAAAAGCCACGGTGATTGATCTAAACGTTTAGATTTTAGGCATACCGTTGAGCAGGTACATGTTTTACTAATGGAACCAGCCATGGTCCATCAAGCAATATTATTACTGAAAAGGCATAGGTAAGCTCTGATAC